AAATATTTTGGTGCAAGACAGACAGATCAATCAACACCACCAGACTCTGATGTTATTCTCTAGATGCTGATAGTCTGATATATGCTATTTTGCTGTGTTTCCATAGCCACTGCTTTATCCCTAAGAAGTGTTTGTGCAGAAATCACAAAAGCCATCGACCATACAACTTCAGCCATTCTTCAGCTCCTACCTTTCTCACTCCAATGAATAACTTCCATTTACTATAGAGGCACAAGGACTTAAAAATTAACATACAAGACGCACATAGATGGCTGCTGAGAAAACTGTCAGGGGGAAAGCCAATCTCAGTTGACAGCTCCCCCATCGTGATTCCAATGGCTGTAATTATTGTTGGTTTGAAACCAAAGAACTCATTTGCAATCACTCTGAAAATGTCTTCTTGTTTATAATGGATTTACTTAGCTTTGTGTGAACTGGATCCTCTGCCTTTTCATGTCTTCATCACCTTGGTAACATCAGCATCCCGCCCTGTACCCTGAACCATTTCACACAAGGACTCTCTCAAGAGAGCCAAAATCCAAGACGAAGCAACTTGCACTGTGCGATCTCAGTAGCTGAAATGAGTCTTACCTGTGTATGACTGGAAGAACGTTCTGCTATTCCCCCACTTACTCTTAAGTAAATGCAAACTTAAAACGGTATGATGTCTATAATAATTTCCAAGTTTTGGACATTCCTATACATCCTACATAGTGTAATATTGTAGTATACACAGTATTAAGACCACAGGCAAAGGTTTTACTGAAGTAAACAAGTTGTGTTCACGAAACATTTTTTTAAAAACTTTCAGGAGACTTTTGTGTCTCTTTCTCAAGTGTCTTTGTTAAAGAGATACTTGTCAATATACAACCTTACAAATTATGAAAAAAAAAAAAAAAAAAAAAAAAAAAAAAAAAAAAAAAAAAAAAAAAAAAAAAAAAAAAAAAAAAAAGAGTAGTTTAAGATGCAACTTTTGTCATTGATTTCATGCACCAATTGTTACAGCTTTGTAGCATTTTCTTATATAACAATGATTTTCTCCTTTGCTTATGATAGTACTGTCAAAATCCACAGAAATTTTCTTACATTGTCACAAGTATCGCGCAAGATCTAATACTCCCCCAGAGAAAGAGGGACCAAACAGGGCTTGTGTGCTCATGTGCCCAGGGCCAAATTTCCCATTACACAAACAAATTGAAAAACAGAAACCTAAAATAATTAGTATTTCACTTATCTCTCCATAATAGTTGTTATAACAACAGTAAATGACATACTGTCAGAGAGAAGTACAATATACATTTAAATGTAAAAATGACTTGGACAGTAATTCTCTCAGAATCTGCTGTTCCAATATGAGAATTACTCGATTTTGAAGAAGAAGTGTTAATAGAGCATCACTAAGGAAAAGATACACTAGGAAAAGCCTCAAAACAAACAAAAATACTGGACCAGATGATGTTTTGGCCCACTTCAGTATGATAACGCTTGTTTTTATGACAGAGATTAACATTTTCTCCATTTCAGAGCCTGCTATTGAAGATAATCATATACTTCAATAAAGGAACAGACAGCCTCTGCAGGTATCTGAACGTGAAGTAAGTCTAGAAACACACAGAGGAAATTCTGTTTTAAGCTATACAATCATTTAAATTAGCATATATAAACATGCAATACTGGAAGATAATTACCTATTGCAATAGTTAAATCTCTTCTTAGAGCAAAGCCCACTAGTCTCTGCGATTCTTTTGACATAATAACAGGGAAACCATTATAGCTGGTTTCATTGATTAAGTTTTCTATGTCTTCGACTGTCATATTATCCTGCGTCAGAACTGCTAAGGGTGGATCGCTTCTTCGAGGTCTCATAACATCAGCAGCCAGCGTTGTGTGAGTAAATTCTTCCTTTGCGTCCAAGAAAGGATATCCATTCAGTCGGATGTGTGCCTCATAGATGCCTTCCCTACCAAAGGCATCTCCTACCCACTTACTGGTCATGACTGCAGCCATTAGGGGCACAATATATTCCAGCCCTCCTGTTAGCTCAAAGACAATAACTACTAGGGACACGGTCATCCTTGTCACACCACCTGCAAGAAAAATGGTAGCCAGTAATGTTCCCATATCAGGTAGCAAGGAATCTAGAATTTCCCGCCTTCCTGTTGAGAACTACAAACATAACTTTGCCATTGAAGGTCACCTGACAAACATCACTCTAATACAAACCGAAGCAGACAGGAAAAATGAACACAAAACTTTTAGAAGTAAAAATGTGCTTTAGGGAAAATTCCTAGAAAATCAGAGAATAAAGGGATTTAAAAAATATGTGCAGTTCTTTCATGCAAACTAAGAATAAAACTATGTATTTCTCCATACCACACCTAGGTTAAAAATACTGAGAAATGCAAGGAAATCCAGTAAGATAACAATTTGGAAATAAGAACAAAACTAATGCAGGGAAGTCACAGGTAGCAATTCAACAGCTATGTGGACCAAAGGATTAGGAATTTAACGCTGTTGCTGAATCATAAAAACTAAAGAGAATTCTGAGCTGATGAAATCGCTTTCTTGGACAATGGGAGAAGACAGGGATTATACTTCTCTTTTGTTAGTATCAAGATGTTTTTTCTGCTAAGGTTTCTGACGTCATACCTTCATTCAATAAAAGAATATGATCTTTCTTTCAGTGCATTCGGAAGTGATTCAAGTTGATCTATTAAAAGACAAAACAACCTCTCCAAAAACTAAATTTGTACCACTAGTTTATTTTGTTGCTCAAATGCACTTTTCCTTAAGGAAAAGGTCTACTTTTTTGCAGAATCTGTACTAATAGCTTTTAAGTTTAATTTATACAGCAATGAAGTTACAAGCTGGGACAAGACAAGACCTTCAAAAAACCTCTCCTAGTTTAGGTGCCCAACTTAAGCCTCCTTCCATGAAGCTGATTTTTAACAGTTTCTAAATCAGACTTGTTAAAAATATATCAAGCTGGACTTGTCAAATCATCAGGTACTTCTGAAAGTTTTGTTTGGATTATGAATTTCAAGAACACTTTTTGCAATTCATGTAGATGTGGCAGCTGATCACGTCACCTCCTTGTAATAATTTCAACAGTACTTGACTCTGCAAATCCTCTACGTCATACATTTCAAGAAATTGATTTTTCTGACTGATGTAGTAATGACACCTCTTGATACCAGAAAGAGAAAGCAAACCTACTATTTAAATTCTTCTATTTCTCAATTTAAATTTCACGTTATTCCTCAGACCACAAGGATCCGACTGTCTCGTGCAGAGATGTGAATGTGTTATTCTGAAGAGACAGAAGTCCATATAAACAGGTGTTCCAAAACTGCACACGTCTATATCTCCCTTCATTTTTAATCATTATTTTGGTAACATACAAGAAATCAGATACTTATTTACTTTGTTATATTGTAGTTACCTAAGCACGCAGCAGCACCAACCATAGCATAAAGACCAGGTGTAATACAGTCAGCTCCAACTTCACACCACTCCTTGAAAATGAACCAGTCATGATGGTAATAAGCCAGCTGCTCCACTGCAATTCCTACAATCCTTCCTGCTATTGCTCCAATTGCCATGCTAGGTATGAACAACCCAGATGGAACCTGCAACAAAACCAGAAGAACTGTTGTCACACTGATGGGTACAGGCCTGATGCACAGTTTTACCAGTAAGTTGGGTTTTTTGCCGAAGAGAGATGCAAATGCTCAAATTGTCATGTTAGAAACACGTAAACTGACATTGCAAGGTTAGTAAAACTTAACACAATGCTATTGATACCTCTGATCGACCTGGTCAGTGGAATCCATTTTATGAGCACCTTTGTTTCTATTTTACTCTATTTAAGAGCAAATCTATCACCAGTACAGGACCACAAACCAGACTCTCAGTGCCAACAGCACAACTTTTACCATGTGTGCGTCCAATGTGACCTGTGCTACTAGTACTGAAGTCTTTCTTACTACTTCCCATCTCCCTTATTACTTCATGTTCTTCTGAGTCACCATTCACTTACTAAACAAGCTTTGCACATAGGACTGCCTTCCCAAACTGCTTCCTAACACTGCTATAAATTAGATGGTCAGCTAAACAGATGATTTTTAAAAGAAGCTTTGCTTACTATATTGCAGTTTCCCATACAAAGTTGTGCATATGGAAGGCTAAATACACTAAGAGAGAAAGGGGGAGAACAACTCCTGCTGGAAAAAGTAGGTAACATATTACTGTAAAAAAAAAGTTCCTACTGTAATTTTAGTATTTAAACTGTTTTTCTGTCATTAACTAAAACCTGAAAAGGCCACACAGCCTTGTCATACCGACATGGATTAGTAAAATACTATTCCAAGTCTTGCTTTTATCAGCAGCTTCAAAAGGAGTGAGAGTTCATCTGAGAAGCTGCATTGTCTATCTTTTCTCCTCCTTAGGAAGCTAATTGTCTTTCCAAAAACTGGTGTCTAAATGTCTCATTAAACTGGAAATGCCTGCTTCTCCTCACAGCAGTTGTTAGCATCAAAATATTTTCTACTGTGACTGAGGTATAGATCTGACTACAGATAAGTAGTAGAATTTTTACTTTTTGTCTCAATGCACCTAAACTCATCTTGTCAAAATAATTTCATTAAAAAACTGCACTCCTTAACAGGACACACATTTTTTTTTTCTACTGTAGAGCTGTGAAGTTTCAGCATTGCACAACTCCAAAATACAGATTTTGCCACGGAATCCAATAGCTGGTGCAGAACTGTATTTCAGAATCTATTTGCATCATCATCATCATTATTGTAGCCAATATTTATGGTTGCAAAGATGATTTCTAACAGACAAACCAAAGACAAGCAAACATAGCAAACTTTGTGTTTGAAAGCCAGCAGCAATTACCTAATATTTCAGTGTTGACAGAGGTAACCATTCAATACTATCATTTTAGTGTAATATCCAAATTGTGCATCTATACCACCACTACCTACTGTTATTTCCCACAATTAATCATGCATCTAAACCCCTTTCTAGCTGTTAAAATCTGTATTTTTACTTGAGTGAAATTCTTTCTTGGTGAACAGTTCAATAGTGCCCTGAAAAAATAACATTTCTGATATAAAAGTAATGGAATAAATCTTTGAAACTGCTTCAGATTCTAGTCTGCTATAGCAGTATGCCACAGAAATTCAGTCTCCACATGGAAATTACATCCAACTTGTTTCTGGTTCTTTGTTAACTTTTTAATGCATCTAGCTCCTTCTCTTCTTTTCATCACATGTGGATAATGGTTACAAGTCTAACTGTAATTATGATTTTACAGCTCCATTTGTTTGCATAAGCCTCTGAATCACAAGTCACAAAGTGGAGAAGAACCTTCACTGAGAAGGAGCAAGGAAAAAAAGTTAGGTTCCACCTTGCCTCAGCCTTCTTCTCCAGTGCATGCCAGCCTAACTCAAGTTATGCTACAGAGGAAAAGATTTATTCTGTGGCACATGTATCATCTTTGAACCAAGGAAGGAGTCAGGATATGGGTACAACTTTCCACTCCTTTGGTAGTGCAGCTGCATACCAGTCAGGCTCTGAAGCAAAGCTGTAATCCCACCCCAATTATTGATCATCAGCATTTAGACACAGTAACAAGTCTACTGATAATAAGCAGTACTGAATATGTACAGAAGCCTGAAAAAAAAAAACCCCGAAACAAAAAAAACCAAACCAACCACTGCGAGATCAGCTTCCTGGTGATCCTTGTTCATAAGGATAAGAGCAGCAGACCCTGCTCCAGAGGCAGCAGCTAAGCTGCTTCGCTTACCTCACAGGAAAACAATCCCTGTGGGGGAGACTGGTGTGTCTGCACAGGGCTACAGCTCCAGGAACAGACCTGAAGAGCCCAGAGGATACTTAATAATGATTCAGATGACAAAGTAATCTTTTTTTTTTAATTTTCAATTTTCTCCTCCTTTCATAGAAATAAAGCTTAAAACGCAAATAAATATAACATTGAAGAGACACTCCCTTCTCCAGGTCTCCTGATACTGGCTGACACTCTAACTAGCCATATGCTTTAAAGCTTCAGAAAACGTATGTAGCACAGTCCCATCAATGACAGCAGCATGACTCCTTGCCTACTGGCAAAGTGATAAATGAAAATGAACCAAAACAACATGAAGTGTAAGTTCTATCCTTCTGTAACCTAGTGAATTCTAATCACAAAGCGTGATCCTGTGGTGAGAATCGCAGGAGAAAGAGCCAGATGCACACGAACACATGATTGGTAAGAAACTTTATAATGCTTAGAATGGCAGAGCCCTAGATAGAGGTGAATACAACAGATTGGAGTGGTCACTTTACAGCGTCTGAAATTTTGACCTAAAATAAAAAACATAGATTAAAATATACACAACAGATTTCTCTTACCAGTTAACCAATGTATGGAAAATAACTTCAAATAATAGATTGCAACATCTAAAATATCAACGCGTGAGAAACACAAGACGATATTATTCTATAAATTACAGAACAACAGAATGGTTGAGGTTGGATGTGACCACTCCAGATTGTCCAGTGCAGCACCTCTGCTCAAGCAGGGTCAACTACAGCAGGTTGCCCAGGATTGCATCCAGTCAGGTTTTGAGTATCTCCAAGGATGGAGACTCCACAAGTTCTCTGGACAACCTATTCCAGTATGCAACCACCCTCACAGTAAAGAAGTGTTTTCTTGTGCATGCAGTTACATGGAACAGCAATGTGACTGAAAAGTTAAAGCCAGTTTAAACACAAATCCTGCCTAGCGAATGTTCTACAATGTTTGTGTTAAGACAAACTTGATCATGAAGTAGTTGCAAAAAACTATGAAGGGAGCCTGACAAGACACAAAATGATGAAGGCATGACAGTTTTATGTCATTCAGAAAACAGCCACAGGTTGGAGAGAAGCTGAAGAGAGCTCCAAAACAGATTTATGAAATGACCAGGAAAGACAAAAATTATGCTGCTTTGTAATGAAAGAGAAATAACCATTACAGTCACATGAAGAAAGCCTGCTTCCTAGTCATTGCATGCAATACTGAAAGCTTCAGGAAAGAAACCATCATCAGCTCGCTTCAACAGTCTGCAGTAATTACATTTATATGATAAATGCACAGAGCGGATTAAAAAAAAAATTGTTCAAGAGGTACAGTCTTTTCTTCTTCCACGTAACAGGACTAGGGAACCTGAGTGGTTGTATTTCAACTCAGCTGAACACAGCTCTTTGAAATTTTAGAACCATCCTTATTGCTGAATCAGGCCCATACAACAGCCATCCACCCACACAGTTACTGTTCCCTATTCAACTTAGCATGCGTTTCTATTCGGCTGCACAAAGGGCTAGTTTGAATTTAATTAAAATTAATATTGTTTTCTACAAGAATCGCTTACTAATCAACAGTAAAAAGACGACTTTTTTTTAAAGAACTACACATGAAAAAAAAAGTATATAAACAAAGCTGCTAGCTTTGAGAGATGGAAAATGAAAGGCAATAATTAAGTAATCACAGCAGATGATGTAGCCACTGCATTCACACTTACCTTGATACCAAAGGTGAAGACTGTCATGATTATTTTAAATATGAGTGCTAAACACAACTGCCATATAGCTGAATAGACTCCAGTGCCTGCTGGACGGTCAGGAATATCATCTACTATTTTGCTCGCATTCATATCATTTCTGTAGTCACAGAGGGAGGAGGATTCCAAGGGCCCGCAGTCTGTGAAGAGCTCTTTAATAAGCTCACTGGTGTTCAGCCTTGTATATGGATTAGGAAATGCAATGACAGCTGTTATTGCTGCAACAATAATAACCTCCAGGACAGGGTACTTCCCAAATTTTGTAGATTTGCGTCGACGACACCATGCGATGTTTGCTCGGATGAAAAACGCTCCCCAGAGCCCACCAAATACTCCCAGAAGAATAAAAGGAAGCAGTTCAAAAAGGTACCAAGGAGTGTGATATTCCACATAAAAAAGAACTAGGCGGCTATTACCAAAAGGATTGATGGACCTTAAAACAAATGCAGCTACTAAAGCAGCAAAAAATGATCTCCATAAAGTTTTCAGTGGGAAATAGTAACTGACCTGCAAAAGGCAATACATGAAAATTATTAGTGATTCAATTAAAAAATACTGGAAAGACTGGTTTATGCATGTGTTGCAGTACTACTGCTCACATGGTATACACTAAAAAAAAGTACTTTTCCATTATCAGTATTATTCCTATCACTTGGAGCACTGGTGCTCCAGTACAAACTACATTTTTTATAAAGCTCTACAACAATTCATACTTATATCAGTTTTAAAGACAGTACTACAGCAGCATTGAAACCACTGCTGGTTTAAGACTGTTAGGAAATAATGCATAGGAATTTATGGTTAAAAATGTCTCTGTTTATAAGTATCTCTTTCTAGCATTCATAAGAATCTGACTGTGTATCAGCTGCTCTCTCAAATTTCCTGCTAATACTGTTTTGGATCCATCCAACCTACGTTGAAAGGTTTCTGGCAGATGCATAATTTTTATGAAGTATGATTAAAATGTAAAAAAAAAGAAAAAAAATTCCCCAAAACAGAGCACGCAATTTCATACTTAAGCTCCACATAGCCTGATTTGAATTTCAAGACAGTTTTCTTCTGAACATCTTTTTGGCAACAAAGGAATTCCTCAAAATCCCTTAATGATACAGAAAAATTATATATAAAAGAATATTTTGCTTCTTTTTTTCAATTCAGAGCTTTTTAGATTTTTAGGTTTTTTAAAAATGCTAATGATCTAAATAACATTCTTATGTATTTTGGAAACAACTAATGAAAACTAATTTAATACGAAACATTTCTTGGAGGAGAGAGTTTATAGCATATTTGCCTTTTTAACAATTAATGTATTCAATTGTGTTTCACGTCTGAAACTTTAAGAAAAGTAATGTTTAAAAACTTGTTTCATAGAACTGTCAAGCAGATTTCTAAAGCCTTTTTCAAAATGAAAATAAAGAGACCGATTTTTTTTTTAATTTTTAGAATACACTCCTAGAGTGAAAAACTTCTGTGTATCTGTCTGTATGTAAACTGTAATTATTAACTGACTCAGGTCTTCTCCAGAAAACTGTATCTGAGAATAAAGCAAAGCTGACATTCATCCAAAGAAAAGAAAAAACATCTTCAGGAGTTTTCCAGTAACAGGACTCTCTATTCTGAAATGTGAGTCCAAAATAATTTCCTTCTTAGGAAAGACTCCGCGGCTTAAAGGAGTCTGAGATTATTCATGCTAAAAGAGATACTTTTTTTTTTAATATCTACCCTTCTCTTGACATACCTCCTCCAGACTGAAGAGGACTCCACCAATTGGGGCACCAAAAGCTACAGATACTCCTGCTGCTGAGGCAGCTGACAAGACCTGGAAAAGAACAGTGGTGAGGGGTTTTTTTTGCAGTCTGTGATATGCTTTAAACATGAAGGACAGAATCTCATTACAGTTATCAGTTTCTTCTATGTTTCTGTCAAGGACACACAGACTTGCTAACAGAAAAGCATCAAGTAAGTGTATCAGAATGCTCATAAGATGTGGGCAGTGGCCACAGCAGCCACCAACCAGGCACTAGCCATGAGAAAGCCAAGGATGCGGCTCAAAGCCTCCCCAGCAAAGCACCCAAAGGAGTCTATGGTTCAGTATGAAACTGCTAATATCTCATTTTCAAGAAACTTTCAAGTAAGCTTTCTCTGTGCTAGATGTGTGTGGCGGTTAAGTCCACGAATCAGAAATATTATTCAAGGAACAAAAATTGATGACAGACTACACAGCTTTTATATCAGTCTTGGGAGATTTGTGCTTAGTAGTCTTCAAGCAAAAACTTGTAAAAAGATCTGAGGTGTAGGAATCTCAATTCCTACTCTGTTATTTATTGGCAATAAAGTAATCTTCCTCAAGTCGAGTCTGTTTTGCCCATGATGATAACTGGCGAGTGATCTCCCTGTCCTTATCTTGACCTATGAGCTTTTCATCTTATTTTCTCCTGCTGTCTTGATGAGGAGGAAGGGTGAGAGAGTGGCTTGGTGGGCACCAAGGCTAACCCACCACACTCTCACTAACAACTGGATTAGAGCAGAAACATTGTAATCACCAACCCTTTTCCAGGAATACTTTCTTCACAGGTTCAAAAGTCCTCTGCTGTCCTCATAGCTGAAGACACTCATCAATTACCAAAATGTAGAGCCAAGAACAAAAAGAATTTAAGTAAAATCAAGCGGTCTCTGATGTGGGAGAAACTCAAACTTACTCTGACATGGAAGGAATTTACCTTGGAGAATGCCAGGGATAATGCATTGTTATTAACACAATAAATAACATTGATAATCCAAGCCTAAACACTGTCTGAGAGAGCAAATACCATCTTTTAAAAAAAAATCAGTGTGAATGCATGGATATTCAATACATTGTAGAAATGCTTTTGCAAGAACCCACCTCTCTTTTTTTAGCTTCATTTGTGCTGTACTTTGGAAAGAGGTAGGAAAAAATATTCCCACAGCAGCAGGCAACATGTACCAAGGGACCCTCTTTTCCTAAACTCAAACCTGATGCGACAGCCAAGACTAACGTAATTGTTTTTATCATCAAAGTCCACTTCCCCAAGTAACCTCTGATGATGAAGCCACTCAAAATAGTTTTTATCTGGAAGAAAGAAAAAAATTTATGTTATTGTAGTCTGCTTTCTTCAGGAAAGCATTACTTTTATCATTTTAGTTGCATAACTTCAAAAATAGCCTTTTCAAATCACTAACTTTATCACACTTTAAAACATGTGTTGTTCAGATTGCTACACTGAGTCCATCTGGTTGCCAGAGGCTTTCCATTTGCAACTTACTCTTAAACACTGAACAATAATGAACAACAAAAGTATCAATTACATTTAGCAGAAAATTAATCTGCAGTAGCTTCTAAGACTGCACTCATTGGATTATGATGTAAATTATCAAAGGAAAGTCAGAAAACTCCCAAAGGAAAAATAAACCTGCAAAAAGTATACTCGAGGTCATCTACTGTAGCAGTATCACACTTGCACCAATTTTACTCCTTCCTGTTTTCTCCTTACGTTTTATCATCTCTACATAAAAATTTAACAGTAGATTCCTTCACATAAAGATGGAAAAGATCAGCCTTTTTCCCCTAGAAAAGATGTGTCACTTGCCTAAGATATAACTTTGCCTAACAGTGTCATATTATTAGCCTGGAAAATATGCCCATATGTAGGAAATAACATAGTTATCATAGGAAAGGACAACATTTCTATTAAATGAGATATACACAAAACACTGGGCAGCTGTGTCTAGAAAGTAAAGGTTAGCTAAATTTGGAAACCAATTTAGGATGATATCTTTTCTGGAATAAGGGCACAGAATTACTCCAAGCTTATTCAGAGGCAGGATTTGTCCTTCAGCTTCTACAGTACACATACGTAAAGAAGCATTTATAGAATGACTGGAGAAGTAAAACTGACCAGACTCCGACTTTGGGTTTTTCCCTCCCATTCTGTGTCCAGTAGCAGGCAGCAATTGTAAAATGAATGAGTTCTTGAGAATATCGCACATTTTACTTTATGATTGTCTGATGGTTTGTGCTAGCTAAGGCGATTAAAGCCAGTGCAACGAAAGATCAATTGCTGTATCAAAGGACCCGTAGTCTGCCCAATGAACCACTGCTCTCTTATCGACGTAAGAAGGGTGGGGATTGGGGTGGGCTTTGAAAATCACTCTTCAGAAGTCTACTCTCTTAAGCTAAATGCTTCCTTAAGAAGTAGTCCAGCACACAGAAAAATCTACAAACTCAGGAGCTTCTCTGAAATTTGGGGTATTTTTCTCAGCAACAATTAGCACAATTACATGTTTTCAATTTGAATACCCGTATTAATGTATTTCATCAAAGTCTGAATTTTCACATTTTTATGAAACATCTAGAACATATATATTAGTTAGACCTCACCTCAGGTATCCCTGAGCCACAGGCATAGGGAGCAAATACCTTCACCAGGGAAACTGCTAAGAAGGCAAAGCTCAAAGCCCAGAAAATGTACATTATGTAGTTCATTATATATGAACCTGGACCCTAAAAGCAAAAACAAAACAAAACAAATCAGAATATAAATTTGATGTAGGAGCAAAATCACTACGTAAAATAACTCAGAAGTACTCTTGCTGCAAGGACACTTATGCACGCATTTTGAGGGACAGTAATTATTACCAAGCCAAGAAAGAGAGAGTTTACTGAATACTGTGTATCTCTTCTTTATTTTAAAAAAAATTGTGGTAGAAAAAGTAAAACCAAGCTATCCTTAGTTACTGGAGAACACCACAAATTTCATTTTTTATGTATAGCTATGATGAAGAATAGAAATTCTCATGTTAATAACAGTTCTATATTCTCATAACTTCACACCTGCACACTCCAAGACCCTTTGCAGTGCATGAAATGCACATTTGTTACACTATGACCTATTCATTAATTCAAATGCTGAAAAATGGAGCAGACAGCACAACCCAAATCCACATTTAGTACCCTAACCTTAAGACTATTATTTTCTTTCCATGTCCAGTCAAGCTGTTGAGCAAGACCATCAAAGAATGGGTGTATACTTACTTCTGCTTGCCCAATTATTAATTCTGCCCATGTTTTCCACTGCGGACATTTATCTCTCTCTTCAAATGTGGTCTCATTTGAACCCCAACAACACTGTTCATGGTTAAACCACAAAGCACTAAGGCAAATGCCTTCCTTTAAGTCCGTCATCCAGTCAGCAGCAATGTCAATTAACCCTGCCAATGCTCCTGTTGCAGAAACAGTTTTGTATTAACATTCTGTAAACTGGAATAACACACGCAGCTAAAATGAAAAAATGTGCTGGTATTAATTGATGTAAATTGAAATTACAGAAAACCTAAAGAAATAAGACATTTGAAATATTACCGATTTCCAGGAATATAGCCTATTTGCAATATGGTAAGATTAGTATTTGCTGAAGAATCTAGTACTTTGTGTATTTCACAAGTTAAATGCATCTTTCCTTTTTTATTTCCTATGCCACAGTTTTCCAACAGTCCACTGAAACTAAGGAGTTAAGAATCAAAAGAGAACTGATACATTTTTGCAATGAAAAAGACAATAGACCTTCTGACAAAACCACGTTGCCGTGCCTCAGAAAACTGATGTTGTACAGAACAGCGTATTTGGAGAAAATCGTTCTTACTTTTGCCAACAACAGTTTCAGAACAACATAAATAAAACCCCAAATAACCCCTGATGACATTCATGTGATCCATGTACAAAATTACTTAATTCTGTAACATGGTGAGCATGTAAAATTCCTACTGCAGGTAACAAATAATATAGATATTATGCAGTTCACAAACTCAAAGCTTAAGAGGGATTCTGTGTTGTAACTACATGCAGAAAACTTGCTGAAGGTCCTCAGAAACCAGGCATTACTTAGGAAATTGCTTCAGAGGATTTAAAAAAATAATTTAAAAACACCCTTTATTTTACAAAAGCAAACTAGCTTTTCATGCTAGCAATATACTGAAAAACTACTTCTGAAGTAAATATTTTTGTGAACATATACAACTGTTAGTTAAAATTTGCTATTTTTAAGGTATTAATCAGTACTAGAAATAGCTGTCTAGAGACAGCCACAATTTACATGTGATAAGTTGGTAGTAGAGATTTATCTCCGATTTACTAATTTATATTTACTAATCTTGACAGACCCTCAGTTTGAGATCCTAGGCCAACCAAAGTCAAAGGCAGCATTTCAGTAGAACAAAATTTCAACCAAATTAATTAAAATGCATAAACATAACATTTCCCCATGACTGAAATCAAGGTTGTACCATTTCAGATTCACTAGACATATACAACAGAAAGCAATTGAATGTGAAAAACCTAGGAATGTTCATGGCCAGAATTTGCTCACTTTGTTGCTCAAAAACATAGTAAAGCAATTTTTATACACATAGGCAGTTTGGAGGGTGGAAACACAACACTGCACATTCCCACCCAAATTATCACAAGCAATTTCCAGTAATTATACACTCCCAGTTTGTATATTCAGAGGTATATAAACATGCTACAAACTTTGCATATATATTAATTTATATGCGATTTGTGAAAGTGATTATGTATATATCTAAGTAGTAATTATACAGTTACCATGCCTTTTTAACAGGCACAGCCATACTCTGCAACTAATCCAATTTTCCTAGCATTTAATCTAAGATCTCTGCTTGAAATACGTTTCTGGAAAAACTGAGTGCAAAGTTTGTGAATTCTCACTTCTGCCCTTTTTGGTAGCTCCAAACTATGCTGATAGAAAGCAGCATTGCACAATAGTGGGGCCATAAAATATGAAATTATCTTAGCTGTAAAACTCATCCTAAAATACATTGGAAAGATAGAATTGAAGTAGAGGCCAACAAACTCCACCTGTTAAAGCTAGCATTTTCTGTGTAGCAACCTCTAGAAAGGTATGACATAAGCATACAGCTAGACTTTGCTCATGTATAAACACATGCTTTACGAGGAAGTGTTTTTACCAAAACTACATATACACCAGAGTTACTTTTTGGTCCATATGGGATAAGCTAATGGGTTTAGTCAAGTTCCTAGAAAAAAAAAAAAAAACAAAAACCAAAACAAATTCAGAGCAGAGAAACCATCTAGCACAATCAATTAACACACTTTCACAAGAAAACCTATAGGAAAAAAGCAAAATTTAACAGAGAGGGAAAACACCAATCTCAATCACAGGACTGAAGAACACAGATAGTTTAGTAGGTGGAAGTTCAACAAATCTGAGAAACTCTCACTAAATTCAGTGAGGATTTCATTTTGCATTTCATTAGTAACCCACCCACCCCCACCCCCAAATGCTAAAGCCTGTAAATTAAGACAGTCAACCTTTTCCTTCCCTCATGGAATTATGGTAGAAGTCTGAACCAGCTCCTGTCCAGGTTGGTGGATAACACACAAATGAAAAGCATAGTAACTGTACTTGCTGACAAATGTAAGAAAGAAATCCTTTGGTTTTTAAGTTACCTGATGCCAAACCAGTTAGTGTAACTACTAGCCATCCTGACCATGCATCGTACAAACTTTTTGTCATCTCCCATGCTGATTCTTTCTTCTTGCTGTTAATCTGCAAAGAGAAGTCATTATCTATACTTGTATGTGTTTCTGCAATATGAATAGGAGAAAAAAAATTAAGTATGACATACAAACTGCATGATGCAAGCTGCAGGCAAATACACCTTCTCTTTAAACTACAAGCATTCTCCTTGTATTTAGTGCTTTACATAGATAAATCAGCTTGGTTATTCAGACATCAAATAACTGACAGAGGAAAGTAAATTTGCTTAATTTAAAGAACTAAAATCCAGGAAATGCATTATTAGGATACATGCATACTTTCTATGAAACACATCTAAACCATGTAATTGTAAAATTATTTCTCTGCTAAATCTTAAATTATTTTTTTGTTGAACCTCAAATAAACTGTTCAAGTACTACTAATAAGCTATTCCTAAACTTCTATTTCAAATATAAACATCTTTCTTTTATCTTTAGACTAAAAACCACACAAAAATAAAACAAAACCAAAAACTAGGTAGTTATCCTATAATTCTTCTAGAGAACTATTACTAATGACATCTGAAGTTATGGTACTGAAAAAATAGTAATTCCTATTTTAGCCTTATTTACTTTATGCACTTAGCTGAAATTTGTGCATAACTTATTTTACGATTAAACTTTCATTATGTGATTGGATCCTATTCTTACGATTTTTTTCATACTGTAAAAGGAGGGAAAAAGTATATGAAACAAACAGCAACACACACCCCCCAAACCAAGAAGGCACAATACTAGACAAGGAAATTTAGAAAAAATATCACCCCTAAAACAAATAAATGTATTTTATAGTTTCCTCTACATTTATGAGATTATCAAACTTTTTTTCCTATAAAAAAGTTGTTTCTACAGTAGCATGTGTTTCAAAACCACCATGAACTAGTACTTATTCCTTCTTCTTTCTACATCTTCGGTTACATGGCCAGACAATCTCCTGTCATTCAGGGCATATTTATAAATTTCACAGTAGTTCTGTGGCAATAACCTGTGAACTGTCTTGTCTGACTTTTCTGGTCTCAGACATTAAAATGAGTAACAGCTGTGGGACCTTCCCCTAAATAACCTATTTCCAGGTGTGATCTGCCTTGCCAGGATTTGGTCAGGCCCAGCACTCTATCCAATGGCATATCCACCAGACAGTAAGCTACACATCTGCATGGTGCTAATTACTGCTTAGATACCAAATTATGAAATAAAGTATTACATGGAAAACACCTTCTTACTGTTCATTAAAAGCATTTAAACAAGGTAAGTGTTCTCAGATCCATTATCCAAGGATCTCTCTTCCTTAAAAAAGCACTAGTTAGTGCAATTGTGGATGTTTTGGTTTTTTAAACTAGTGGAAGATTATTTTTCTTAACCATGTCATAGTAAATCAGCATATGCATCCCATGTTTGCTTCCAGAAAGTTAAAAGTGGCGTTTCCAAAGACAGCAGAGTAACGCTACAGTGCTGTATGTGAAAGAACGTCTCCCCTGACCCCTTCATACAACTATAATTCATTTTTAACTATTCATTTTGATCAGTTAAAAATATTTTAGGATAAATCACATCTCCAAATCTGTTCCATTTTTAAGGTTAATTAACGCAAGCACCCCAAAAATTTGGCAGTAAGGCTCCAAATAGCATATTTCCTCCTAAAATGCTATTAAATAAGTCTGTTACATGAATGACAGTATCTAGCATGTTACTGACTAATACAACTTGAGTCCATTTCATGAAAGAAGTCCTTGCAGAGCACACTGATAAAGATGAATGGCCTGAACTTTGAAGATCTACTGAAGAAATCAATAGAGAAGAGGAGAAAAGCAAGTTCTGTGATGGGAGAGTGGAAAGTACGTTTACCATACATACTGAGACTACTTTTTTGTTAAGCATATATATACTGATGTAAGTGGTTTAGAGATGAGAATTCTCACTTTACACAATCCAAGCAACCATAGCACTACATATCAGTAGCAGAGATACACTTGTGTCAGTATAAAAGCAATATGCATCAGTGCTCACTTTTCTGCACAAGTACCACCATGAGCACAATTGTACTATTACAAATATACATTGGAAAATAGCCTTATACATACAAGCATGCAAAAAAGGCAGTACTGTTAAAATGTCATTTGGGTGATGGAATTATTCCCACTCTCTTAAATTACTGTTTTCATTCCAAGTTATAATACTGTTTCAGGAATACAGGTATCAATGAAATGGTGCTTTTTAAAATTCAAGTAGTTCTAGCTGATATAACTACTTACAAATGTAAAGTATGCACACATTTGTATGTGTTACTAGATCAGACCTTAAATTTAACATCCAACAAAAAATATTTTCCAAGTATTATTATTTATCTCAAGTACCCGTCTATGCCTTTCTCTGTCTTTGCACTTCTCTCGAACCCAGTCAATGGTATGGAAGTCATCATATGTTCCTACTCCAGGAATTGGTTCATCCAGAAGATCCAACAGATGCGTTGAACTGTTGATACTTCCTCCATTTGTCATTGTATAATGAGTTCCTGTGGCAGAGTAAGTACAGGAATGAATTAATTCTGCAATAAATGAAGTATTCCAATGTTCATAACACTGTGACATATAAAATTTCTGAACAAGCAATTAAGACACTTCCCATAATATGCATATTTTACTTCATTCAGGGTTCTCAATGTTGCATGTCACTATGTTTTCCTGTCACTCATCTGTAGGTTAAATTTGCATGTTAGTGACTTTATATTTCCATTGGTTAGGTATGAATGTACTAGTCAAACTGTTGTCCTGTTTTGTGTGCAGTCTCCAGAGAAACTTCAATAGAACGAAGTGGAAAAAATGAGCAGCTTCAACACATATTTAACTTGAAGGTTATTTCAGCTTATGAACTACCAGAGGAAAATCTGACTGTAAGAAAACAAAACCCGATGATTAGATATAAAGTTCACAGCACTTCCATAAGTTGCCAGTTAGTTTTAAATATACACATCATGGATTACCAATCCCTCCTACATGTCTAAACCAAACCTAAAATACATTATCAACAGATAAACAGTGAAGCTAGAAAGTAATAGAATGCCAAGCAAATACTTGGGTTTTTTAAACTTTTATTTATTTATTTCAGGTAACTCACAGAACAGCCCTCAGTCATGGCAAATTGGAAATACTGTATAAAGAAAATGTCTTCTACTAATTCGTCATCACTAGCTAGTTCCTTCACAAGCAGCTTGCATAGCAACATCCCCAATGGCATTTCTTTCAGAGATCAGAATAAGAAGAGCAAGAGGAGTGCTAAGAATTTTTCCCTCTTCACAAGTGATCAAGAAAGTTTTATTTTTTTAAGCTTTCAAATGCCATCAGTTCTGTAATATCTTGGCTTTTTTCAGTTCCTGCAGTATATTTACAAACCTCAAGTATAATTTTCTGCTGGGGCTGCCTAAATATAGTATGGCCATCATTTGCCCAACACAAACCGCTTCTGCAACAGTAATTCCTATAAAGGGAACATTTGTAAAGAGGTTAATATAGACAATGATTTAAAGAGTGATGACTCTTGCTTGTTTGACTAAGAACAAAATAAATTTGGCCAACAGCATATGATGTACCACAATAATCTCCGTTCTTAAAGAGTTAGGCCCAAGTTGGCCAAGACTTCTATCAGTTCAGACAGGCACTAGAACTGATTTCATTAGATTTGACAGTGGGATTGTTAGGCAGGTGGGGTTTTTTTTAAGTTGGTTTTTCTTGGTTGGTTGGTTGGGTTTTTTGAGTTTTTTTAATTGCAGGCTCAGCTTCTTGGTGTTGTCAGCAGAAGTTTCCAACTCAACAAAAAAAAAAAAAAGTTTTCCAAGGGCCTACCTGTAAACTTCTAAATGCTACAAATGCAGAGTTCACCAGCCACAGCTCTCGCCAACAACTGACAATTAGTTTTATACATAGATAAAATGTGCTTTTTCCCTTTAAATTTATGAAATCTGAGATTTAGCAGCAATATGACACCTGACATTGTACTCCGACCCAAAGGTATGCCTCAGCCATCTCTTGCTTGAGAGGTCTCATTTATGCGTGCTATATAAAACAGTGTTTATTTGGACATTTTCTTAGTGGTGAAAGACAACACACAAGAAAATAATACAAAAATCCTATCAAGACAAAATGCAATCTAAAATACCAAGATACACAAACCACTATTCATTACATACACACATTACGCATAGAAAAGCTTAAAATTCTGTAAAACTGTATAAAAAGATTACTTTTTTAAAAAAAATCTTAAAGTAAAAGAAGAGAATGCAAATGCAGGAGACAACTCCTTGACAATGTCAATACCATTCTCTCATGCTAGCCCAGCTGCCATCTTTCTTAATACTGTTTTTTCCCCAGTCTACGCCATGTTAAATTCTCCCTCATCTATTCACCATAGCTAAGCCCCATAAATCTCTTCCCAGAGCTGCTAGTCTCTCTTAAGGCAGATGTAAAGAAGCATTACCTATGCTTCCATTAATAAAAGGCTAACAGCAATAAATTAAATCAGATTTGCTAATAGAGGTGATTGTGAAAACCTTGCTTTAGGATAAGGGATTCAATCCTCCTGCCATTTCCAATTCTCGTAACTAGAAAGGAAGTCTTAAGATACATGTCTGGCTAGCTGAAAGGGCAAGCCAATCTTATGGAAGGGGCAGCAACAAAACTCACACTGTGATGATGACGTTAGCTCTCAAAATCAAAAGAATAACAGAATACATTATGAAAATGTTATTTTTGCTTTAAATTAATCTCCTTCTCAAAGCAACGGGACATAAATTAAATTGAGCCACAGTTTAATTATTAATCTCCTACAAAGTTACAATGTGATCAAGCAATTTCCTGAACCTGAGTGATCATGGTAGGACAAAAGCCTGCCTTTGCCCCAGGGGAGTTGGTTTTATGCCCTGCTATATATGAAGCAATATCAAGCTATAAGGAGCATGCAATCGTATGCCACGCAAGGCAAAAGAGAGTTGAGAGTTGTAAGTATATCACAAATAGTAACAGATGATTTTATGCATATCATGAGGTGCTGAACTGGAATTCTCTCCAGGCAAACCATCAGGGATGGCACCATAGTCATTGCACCAGACCCCAAGCAGAACTTGGAATAGACTACAAAGAATGGTCATTGCCTGGATACAATAAAAATCCCACCAAAACTGTATCAGGTTCCTACCTCACCAGCGTATTTGCAGGCACATCAAATACTGAAATATAAATGATTATTGTACGATGGGGAGGAGATTCAGAGCAAGATGTGACGCTGAAGAGGTGGCTTTGTTGAACACAGAGCTGCTGTGAATGCCTGATGCAGCTCAATATAGCTATAATCTTGTACCAAGTGAGAAACAGGCAGCAGCGACACCCTGCATTAGCCTGTGGTAGAAAGGCCACCCTTTAGAGGACCATGAAGGGAACAACTGTACAAGATCTGATGCTTTCTATCTAAGATACGTTGAGTCTGACAGCAGTGGGAGAGGACATTTTCCAGCTAGTACTAGGATCTATGTAGCACATAACTATTCTAAAGGAGAATTTAGAGAAATATATCTTCACCAATACTCAACACTTTCCCAAACTTCCACCTCCCTTTCTTCTCTAGCATTTCACACAGTAAGATGCTCCTTCCAGCTATGACTATGATTCTCATCAGCATAAACACATGCTAATTCTCATCATTTTTTGCCAGTTTCATTGAAGTCTTATTAAATTTATTTTCAACTCAACAGATTCTGTTAAAATCCTTACCATAATACAGATTTTTTCACCACAACATTCTAACCTCCAAGCAGGAAATCATCATTACCCTGATAAATTGTAGCATTTAGCAAATGTAGCCTTCTGAACATTCCCGATGTTCAGAAAGTATTTCCCCTTCCTTCCTCCGCTTTTTCTGCAGTCCTCAATTTTCAATCCTCAATTTCAACACTTTCTCAGGTTACAACTCAATGCAAGACCTTTTCATCAAAATACAAGCAGCCTTAGTCTTAAAAACCACAACAAGCACTTAGCACACACGGTATATGTGCACTGCCTCTAGCTATAAGAGAACACCTCCATTTTCCGTATGTACACACCTAAGCCATTCTGCAGCTGTAAAGAAACTAAAGCCTTCTTTTTGTTATGCATGAATTTGCTTAAGGCTTTATTAGACTGGAAAGCAGATGGTGAAAGTGGCAGGCAGAAATTTTATTATTATTGTCATTCCAAACTCACCCATGTTACTACAGGGAGGCAAATAGTAATATACTGATCCTCTCAGAGGCTCAGCACAACTCCCAGGAATCCTTACAAAGCAAATTCAACACAATCCTTCCATACTTTGCAAAACTAAGGGAGCTGGCATCCCTTTGTTAGCGCACTCTTCTCCAACAGCATCTTTAGCAATCCTGTATTCTCAACTCGTAACTAGCGAGCTGCTGCAATCACAGACCGTAAGGCAGCTTGCAGACAGTAAGCTTCTAGACAATAAAAGCAACATACTTCTTCAGAGAAAGAAGATTGTCTCTTTTAGGTGATTCAGTTACTGAAGGTCTCGCTTGAGCTACCTTCCAGGAAGGCAGCCGACTTTTGTTATCTTTTCATGCATGTAATTCCAAGCTTTCAGCACAATCCTTTCTTAGAAATCAGCTCTGGTAGTGTTGAAGAATTGCTTCAAGTGAAGTTGCTAAGAAGAAAAAAAACCCAAACCAACAAAAAACTAATAAAGAATATTGTTTCATGTTGAAAGAAAAAACCTGTAGTAAGCATTAAGGTTAAACATTGTACTTTGGGACACCTAACCAGAATGAGGTACATCAAAACCAAACAAAAATGCTACATGTACAAATCTGGAGTAAGAGTAGATTCCCACACCACAAAAAAATTGTAATCTCTGAAGAATTGGGAGGTTTGTTTGTTGGGTTTTTTTAATGAGAATAAAAAAAAATACAATCCAACATCACTTGAGAAGACACTATGCTTGACAGAAAAAGAAGTCCTTACCATATTGCCCTACTTCATTTCCCTCTGAACATGAAGTTATGCTGAATGGCTGTTAGCTCCCGACACTGATCCAACCTCCTGCTTTGCTTAGCTAGTCCCTCCTGATGTAAAGGAGGAACAAAGAAATTACAGAACTAATATTTTGCTGTACTCACACAAGTTGTTTTATACATTACAGATTCCTCCTTGCTTTATGTCCCCCCTAAGGCAAGGAATATCTCTTCTTTCATATTCTACATGTGCCTCATACAAGCAGTCTTCAATCTTGATTAATGTTGGAACTACGATAAACATGACAAAAGCTGATTTATGTAGATTACACACAGCATTTTTCAGGTGCCATGCACAACATTTTCAAAGGCTGCCTCGCCTCCTCTAGTAGTGATCCCATACTCCCTCGTCCTTTTGCAACTCAGTAGATGCCTTTCAGATTTGAAAGCAACTCTGGGCAACATGCAGCGGATGAAAGTTGTGTGTTTTTAAAGAAAAATACCTAGTAAGTTTTTCGCTAATTCAT